AAAAAAAAAAAAAAAAAAAAACGAATGCAACTTAACACTCATCTCCCATATATATATATATATATATATATAGAACTAGTTCTTTTCTCTTTTGTTGTTGTTCTTCTTCTTAGCATATTTGTCTATGTTTCTTGACTTTCCCCTCTCAATAGTATTCGCCAACTCTACAAGTACGCCTGCAGCATTTGTCTTCCTTTAATAGTATGTTCATTCGTATTCCCCAATGCCTCAAAGATGCCTAATATCACCTGTCGTGCTGGTGTCTTTGCGTGTGGACCGAGTACTGTATCGACTGGCACTATTCCCGCTTCTTTTAATGCCGGCAACAACTTTGGTTCGGCGCGAATGAGACGAAGACACTCTTCAATACCTTTGTGATGTCGTTTCTCTACAAAGTGAGCCACCGCCAGTTTAAGATGTTGACGATAGAGTTTGGCGGGATCATTTTGGAGATCATCATAGGTGAGTAGAGAAACATAATTATCCTTTTCCACATCAAAGTCAGTGATGAGAAGAAGTTCAATGCGAACCACCGCCTCAGCGACATCTCGCAGATCTCTCGTCGCGAATGGAAATTCTTCTCGAATATTTTTCACAATTCGTTGGGCCTCTGCGGTGTCTTTCGTAATCATTGCACACATGGCGAGACCACAGAGGGCTTGTGGACTGACATTATAACAACCCTCACGTTTTAAACGTTCCCACATTTCTTGAGTGATTTTTTTTTCTTTTGTAAAGCCTAATCGTTCACGTGCGGTTTGAATATCTTTAGAAGCCATATCATAGGCTTTTGTAAATAATTCACGGGCTTTGGAGATTTCTTTATTTTTTAGTTTTGTGTGAGCGACATTTAATAACGTCATGGCATTTTCATCATCCTCATCTGTACGTTTGACTTTTTGAAAAACTGAATTTCCACTCATTTCATTCTTTGTTTCTTCTTTCGCATAATCAATAAAGGCATCAATCGCCTCTTTTATTTGAGACTCTGGTACGATACCAACCATCTTATCTGCATAGACTTTATTACGTACAAAGTAAACAATAGGAAACATGTGAGGATCTACACCGTATTGTTGTGTGAGGGCCACTTCCTTTACACAGTCTACGAGGCCGAGTTTAATGGCGAGTCCCCGATCTTTACCAAACTCTTGATAAGCCTCAGCCATATTATTATTTTGTAAACGTCTATTGGCGGCATCTACTTGACCCATTAACCGTTCAGTATAAAGGGCGACATCTGGATTATTAGTAACATGAAAATAAAGAAATAATGGAACCTTTGATGTCATCTCATCTTTTATATTTCGTGAGTTGAAATGGACCACACCCAATCGCATCATAGATGAAGATTGTGAAGATTGTGAGGATGAGAGTGGTGGTACACCACCTATTGTTGAGATATAACAACACTGAGCGATAAGAGTGCCTGTAGGCAATAAAGGATATCGTAACCGTTTGAACATTGAGACTTTGCAGTTACTATCAATATATATATATATATATATATATATGGTTTATATGGTTTTGTCTTTGTAAAGTACTACAGAGAGTCAATAATAGGCATCAATAGGGAAAAGATAATTAGAAAAAAAAAATATAAAGGTAGAAAAGAAGAGAAAAATAATAATAATAATAATAATAATAATAATAATAATAATAATAATAATAATAATAAATAAAATAGGGCATAATAAAGTACTCATCTTTCAATACTTCCGCACACACACATATATATACAAACTAAAGAAGAAAAAGCGGACTCAGAAAGAAAAAAAACTATTAAACTATCAAAGCGAAAAAAAAACTTGAAGTAGCCATACTTGTGAATGACAATGGCAAAGAAAGAAAGGAAAGTTTCACTCAAACATAGAAATATATATATATATATATATATATATATATATATATATATATATTCCTCTTTTATATAAAGAAACGATCATCTATGAGTGTCTTTGAACTAATATTCACCACACCTTCAGTTCCTCTATACCAGCGAATCACCACTTCCAAAGCAAACGTAATCACAAAAGCGGCAAACACATTATGCATAGCAGCATCTATAGAAACATAAAGCATAGTGTAAAAAACAAATAAATCCATATCAATACCATAGAGAAAAGCATTACCGTATGCCTTAACATCATCTACAAAAAAGAGATCCTTACACATTCTATCACCGGATTGAGGTCCATTCATATATAAAATATTTGGAGCTAAATCAAACAAACGTTGTAAAGGAAACTTCATCAATAGTGTACTCTCTGCACTTCGAACACTTTGCTGTAAGGCACTATTAATGCGTTTCTTTATTGCCAATGTCTCTGAGTTGTACACACGAGATTTACGTGAGAAACCAAAAATAGATTGAAAGAAATGCCATTGTTTTCCAGGCCTTACAAACACCATTCCCTTCCCAAGAGATCGTTGCCGCTCCGTCTCAATCTCACTATAACACATAAAGAGATATTGTCGAGTGCCAATGCCCATAAAAACTTCAAATGTCTGACATTTACTTTGACCGCCAAGTCCACGAACGGGTAAATTCCCCTGCGACTCGAGAAATAAGTTTTGTTGAAATTCTTCCATACTCACATCGGCATGGGCGTGAATAGACTCACCGTGAATATAATATCCCCATTGAGATTCGGGTAATATCATTATAGAGATATTAGAAACTGAGCATAAATCCACAAATGCCTGCAGTGGATGAACACAAAAGAATTTATAATAAATACAATATTCCATTAAATAAAGTGCCAAACAAACACTAAACCAAAAGAATGTACTAACAGCTATACGTAATGTTGTGATGGAGTAAACTCCAATGTTCTCTGTTATTGAGGGATTATTTTCTCCTGCTGGAATACTCATTGTATACTTTAAGTAATCTAATCCAACAAGGAAAAGTAATACAATAGTCATACTAAGAAGTGGTCGCCATCGACGAAGTGTTTGAAGTTCACTTAATTCATTTGCCAGAAAAGTAGATCTCCACATACTAACAGGAAGAATTCTATTTTCTCGTAATAATTGTCCTTTACTTCGTTCCCAATCAATTACAAAATAATCCGCATTACATTGTTCTATTATTTTATAAATAACAGCAATACCTTTAGTTATCGTAGCTGTAAAAAGCATAGCATCAATATATATATATCTATCATATGCTAAAAAAGTTAAACCATCATAATGGGCTTGATGAATGGCGAATATATACCATGTTGCCAATGAAACTGTAATTGCAAACACATTTCCTATATGATTGCAGAGATATACTAAAAAACGAATAATAGCACCAAAACTTAATATCATATTTTGTCTCCTTCGCATCCAACTATAGGTACGAATCCATGCAGAGATAAAACATAAAACGCATAAAATAATCATTGTAATCATCATTCCCTGATTTACAGATTTCACACTTGTTAAAAATACCACCGATACCCCACCTTGTATAGGAACTTCCTCCGATTGTTTTTTTAATAATAATGATAAGGATGTAGTATTGGCATCCAATAATTTAGAAGTATATTGTAATAAAACAATAGGGGTAATGAAATGATTTTGTATGTTTGGACTATTTGTCAGAAAAACAAAAGTCACTTGACGAAGTGATGTTAAATAATGTTTTTTATCATTATCCTTATCATTATCATAATTAGATTTCTCTTCCATAGTCCCAATATTATCATATACATAAAAACGACGTCTATAGTTTCCTGATAAGATACGAAAAGACTCCATATCTCCCATGTGTAAAGGAGAAATATCATCATGACCGTAGTTTAGAATAACAGGAACTGAAATTAAATGTAATGGATTTCTTGGATTAATTAAATAAAGTTCATAAAAATCTGTTGGGGCGGCCTTATAAAGTTGACTAAAATACCAATCCAGTGAACACCGTAACTTTCGATTAGATCCTAATTTTAAAAAACTAACGGCCTCAGTCTCTGAAATACGACACAAGTTAAATTCATTCACAACTCTATGAGTTCCTTTTAAATTCCCTTTCCAATCATAAACATTCACTACGAAATTTAATACATCTGTAGTATCATTACTATAAAAAGGCATTAAAGTGGTATTCATAGTATTCATAGTATGACTACTACTATTACTATTGGAATCATTAAGATAAAGTTCTGGTATATTTTTCGGAGGTATTTTCGCGTTAAAGAGTGAAAGATATAATTTACACGGTAATGATTTCTCATTATACATCATTAACACACACATATTGGCCAGAAAATTACATGCGACTTCATTTCCACGAGAACATTGTACGGCAGATCCATTAGAATAACGTTTGACGAGTACAGAATTTATAATTGGTCCAGGAATTCCTTTATTATCTATGTTTAAAAGTTGTAATGATGTGGAAGCACCAACTGCAACTCTTGTAATATTTTCATACACTTCTGTAGGAACACAGGAGTTATCATATAAAGTGGTAAATCCATTTAAACAAACACAATGGCCACTTTTTCCTTTCATATATGGATAGTGACAAGTGGTACAATCCTTAGAAGGACAAGGAAAACACATTTGAGAAGATAACAATTGTGATCCAATCTGTTCAATCAATTCATATCCGTTAGGACATACACACTGTTGACGATCAGTCTTGTAGAAGGCATCTATCATATCTACATACATCTTCTCTCCACCGCAGGGGAGACAGCGTTGGGAGTGATTGGTGTACGGAAAGATACCCACCACTTTATTCTCACGAGTGCAGTCTACACACTCCACAATGCCGGTCTCCACATATTCCACTCGTGCGAATCCACGTGGACATTCACTCTTCACCGCCGCAATAAACATTTCCGTTGAGTTAAATAGATCCCAATCATTATACGTCTTATGTAAAGATGCGAACGGAACACTCCGTCTGTTCAGACTATTCGCATTCAATGTATTCCAGTCATTCACAAGTGTAGGAGTCTCATCCGTATTTTCAATAGAATTACTGTCCTGACGTGTGTGAGAAGTGTATCCATGAGAGGGAAGTGGAATAGAGAATAACACAGAAGGAAGTGTGAGAAACACAAAGAGGAATAATAATAAGAATAATAATCGCATTCCCTTTTCTTTATTTATTTATTTATTTATTTCTATGATTGTTTCTATCGCTATCCTATCGGAAGTATGGGCAATTTTCCCTGAAAGGATGAATTTGCCTAAGGTGTATTGAATACAAGAAAAACAATTTAAAAAATAAAGGGAGAAAAGAAAAAATAAAACATGAACACTTTTTCTTTTCTTCAAAAGAGTACAATAATAATAATAATATTGATAATAATAATAATAATAACAGTGATAATAACAGCAGTAAAGTTGGAAAAAAAGAAAACCAATAGAATCCACTAGGTATGAAAAAAAAAACCCCAAAGGGGGGAAAAAAAAGATGAAAAACAAATACACCTGTATAAATTTTTGAGAATCCTCTGTGCATTTTTATATCGTCTTGATCAATTTTTATTATCATAATCATCAAATAAATAGAAAAAGAAAAAAAAAAAGATTCATCGCCTGCAGCATTTTTCTTCTGTTTCTTTCATTTGAGTACCTTTTTTTTTCTTCTTCTACAGTTCCACTCCTCAATTTTCGCATCATGTTTACTTGACTACATGCAAAAAAAAAAGAGGGAAATAACATTTCCATCAAAGTATCATTCTATTCAGGGATCACTTGGATTTAAATGAATAAAATGGAGAAGAAAGGGGGTGAGGGGGAAAAATAAAAAAAACGGGAAGGATGGATGGAAAGAAAAAAATAGAGGGAGACCTAATGTGTCCAAAAAGGAAGAAAAAAATAATAGTAATAGTACTAATAGTAACAACCAAAATAAAAAGAATAAAGTTGTTAATATTATTCTTTTCTTTATTCTTTTCTTTTTCCCCCTCTTTTTTTCTCTCACAAGAGGAGATGCTGTGAAGAAAGAAAGAAAAAACACCAATGCTACTGATGAGAAGTATAATATTACTGAGAGAATTCAGCAGTTATTCTTCTCTTTCATATCATTAGTTTATCCACTTCACAAAAACAGACTACTGATCACTCCTTTCAGCGATACAATAGATTTAAGAGAACCGTTTTTTTTTTTTT